CAAAATAAAAGCTATAGAAGTAATTTTAATAATATGAAAATGTGGATACTTTTATTGTTACATTACTCATCGATCTGTAAATACCATTAAAATTATTACCATATTTGCCGTTATTAGTTAATATAATATAATAAGCTCCTAGCGTTTTGTTTGAGTACATTATAAAGAAATAGGTACATGACTAAAATATATATTTAATTGTTTGTCAGGAAAAATAATTAAAATATAAGATTATCAATATATGTTTGTAAATTTAACTAATAGGAAAATAATGCTAATTATGTTACCATTTCCTTGAAGTACAATTTACAATAAATTTTATGAAGATAAAAAATTGATTAATTATTCAAAAAAAAAATTTGTCACAACCTACAACTATATAAAGTTGAAAATTAAAGATAATAATTTTAAGATCGTAAATATGTTATTCTAAATTTGTTCCTATTCACCAAATTTTATGGTACCCTGACATAAAATAGTTAACTAATTAATATCCATAAATGTGTAATACAAACATATGGGAAGGGAAGTATTAATTTGAAAAGCTCAATATAGTTAAGTATATTATAGTATTAATTTATTACACGATTGTTTTGTTTTGTAATAGGATATAGGGAGCATTTTATCAGTATTCTAGTCTTTAATTGTTCAGGGTTACAAGGTTGTAGATTAATCTAAAATATTGTGGTTATTCATCAGTTTATACTTAAATAGTAATCATTAGATAATTATTCATACATCTATCATTATATTAGATATCAATACTTACACACATGAAATTTTTTTATATATAAAAAAAAAAAATAGAAAATAAGTTTTTTTTTAAATATGCCATAATTTAAAAAAAAAATTGGGGTTCGCTAAAATAATTGAAAACTTAGTTGCCAATAAAAAGTATACTTATAATTTATAAAAATGATGTTTTAGACTTATTAATAAAAAAAGTAAGTTCTCAGCAAGAGAAATCCTAAGATAAATATGTTTAAAATTATATTAGGATAACAGGAACACTTGGTTAAATAAAAATAAAACAATAATTTTTAAGAAATATACACACTAATTATAATTTGCAAAAAACAAACATTTATACTTATTAAATRTACTATTAAAAATGACATACTCTACTCAATGGAGAAATATCAATAAAGTGCACAATAATACTAAATAGCCAATTTCTAATCAGTAGTTAATAATAAAAAAAAATAATTATATTTTTGTGACTTAGTTATTAGTTATTATTGAGAACCAAAATATTGGTTGTTTGGAAATTTTTTTTCAGCTCAAGATACTGTCCAGAGTACAACTGGTTAATTTYCCCACACCCTGTTCTACCCAAGATTAAAAAATGTGATCCTGTCTAATCTTTTCTTTTTACACAATGGTTCTAGGTTTAGATTTTGCAGAGAAAATTATTTATGTTATAAGTATTCCTACAACAAAGTTTTTTTTTAAGTGTATTAATATCCAAAATGTGTATTAAAATATACAATATTAGCTATATATGATATATAACCTATCTATTTTAGATTTTAATAACTATTGGATTGAGAATTCAAATCAACTTAATATTAGGTATAGGTATAAGTTGATGTTTTTAAAATGGAAACAGTAATAAATATTACAAGTAATACATGTTYATACAGTAATTACCACTAAATATCCTTAGAAGATATGAAAACAAAATAATTACAGTAGACTAATAAAGTTCTCTAGTACACAAACAAACATAAATTATTTTATATATATTTATTTCATAGTGAATGAACTATCTTCTATAGCATGGAAATCAAATTTCCAAAAATATTTGATAGCTGCTATACAACATTCCTTCTTAGCAGCCTTTTTCGTTGATCCTATAAAATATAAATTAGTAGAAATAAGATAACTATTGTAGAAATAAAAAAAGTATTCATAATTAATGTTTTGTTTTTATTTATGTTTACGTGTGAATAGATTTTATTTAAAAAAAAATTAAATTATTATTAGAATTTATTTTTATAAGTGAAGCTATTTTACCATTTAAGCTGTAAATAATAAAGTGATTACAAGTATAAAAAAAAAATCATAAAAGGTGTAACAGATAGAAATTACTTTTTTTCATTAAGTGACCATAACGCTACATTTATAGTAATTTTTTTTAGTTTATTTTATAGTACTGAAAATAAAACATTTTTTTTTGATAAATTCAAAATATACTATTTGTGAATCTGATTATAAGATCAATTTTGATGGTAAAAAGATTTATCTAAGTCAAGTAGTTTATTTTTTAGTTAAATTAATTTGGAATGTTATAACTTAAAAAAAAATATGATTTTTGAGAATTTGCTGTCATGAGTATATTTCTTAAATTATTTATTTATCATAAAATACTAAACATTTTTGTCATACATTTAATTRRCATATTTTTTTATTAGGTCTTTCTGTTCATCTTGTATATCATACTATTACATTTTATATAAAAAGGAATTTTGAAACTTTAATTGGAATAAAAGTTCCACAAGTAAAACAGTAGAATAATATTGTTTCAAAAAAACTACCTTGTCCACTAAATGGAACATTATCTATTTCACAATTCACTTGAAAAACTGATGGTGTTTTTGAACTAATAATAGTTTCAATAAATTTGACACCAGGCTTCATTTGATTTATTAATTGTATTGGATTGCAATTCCTTGGGTCATCAGGAAATTTTCTCATAGCACCTGCCTAAAATTAAAATAAAAACACGAGTTATAAAATTATAAAATAGTGTGGTATACATGTGTATATCAACTAAACAATCAAAGTATAGCTCACGAGTTAAGTATTTTTAAAATTGTAAATTGTTTGTATATCTTAAAATACTCATAATTTGCTTAATAATTAAAATATAATCAAAAGCCTCTGCRATAACYTAGATAATAATATTACCTTTAATTTTTATAAAAGGTAAATTCACTCTAAATTTTAAACTAACAAATTGGAACCGCTGAGCGTAAAATTTGTTATGTTACACACTTGCAAGACGGAGACAACTCATGCAGATGTGGCATCCTCTTAAGAATAAATTGTAAATAGTAAATAAATGATTATTTACCTTTGACTTTGGTTGCAATTTTATGGCATTTGATTGTTCTTCTTGTAAATTAATAGCTTTTGAAACAGGCTGCAGTTCCCATTGATGTATTAAGTTATGCATAGCTAATGAAGCGAAATGTGGCCATGGGAAATCCTCCTGTGGGGGTCCTTTAGGTTTAGAAACAATACCATTTTCTCCATCTTCCATCTCTGTTTCCATGGGAGATTCTTCTTTTTTTTCTAATTAAATATATGACAATATATAATACCTATACTATATTATATTCAGCAATATTAAAAGTTAACTAGTTCAACATTTGTAACCTACCAGATCGCTCACTTATTTTTTTGGCCAACATAATGCGCAAGAAATTTTCACATGCCTTTTGTTTGGCTTGAGTCTTGGAAACGTGATTTGCAGTATACCTTTGCCCATCAATCTACATTTTTTTTTTTTTAAACGAAGATTGATAATTATTATAATACAAATAAAGAAAAAAATTAAGTTTTTTAATTCAATTATATCTCAACATCTTACCTCAAATGTAGCAGTGTAACCCATAACATTATTTATTGTTTGCTCTTGTAATTGAATTGGTACATCTTTAAACAACTCAGAGAAGACCATTAATGGACTTTTAGGAGTTACTAAACGACGCATTCGAGCATTTAAGCGCTTTTTTCTTTCTTTTTTATTAATTTCTAACATAAAAATAAATTTTATAAATTAAAAAAAATTAAAAAAAATAATTAATAAAAATGTAATTTAAGAAGAATTGCATACTTCGTTTGATGGGCCATTTTATATCTGACTTCTCGCTAATTGATGTTTCTTTTTCAAGCTTTATTTGTTTATTCTATATATACAATGAGACAACATAAGCAATTTTTAAAAACGCAGCGAAGAAGTATTTTCAGTTAGCGCAAAACACATATACTTTAGCAGATAATACATCAAAATAATTTAGCATAAATAATAATAATAATATTAATTAATTAACATTATTATATTTTAATTATATTAACTATAATTATTATAAAAATAATAATAATAATTATTATTATTATTATTATAAGAGGACAGTATTTGATCTGCCAAGGTCTATGTAGTTACCAAAAAAGCTAAGACACAATCCATCACAAATGATGATAAAATATCATTGACTTGGATTTTAAATAAACACATTATTAGTATATATATAGAATCCTATTGGTCAGATGATATAATAAATACCATCAAATTAATAGTAGGGTTTACAAGTTACCAATCACAATAAATTTAAATTATAAAAATATGATTAATTAGTTAAATTAATAATTAAATGAAACTAAAAAAACTCAAATTATTTTTATTTTGAATAATTTATTTTAATTAATAATACTAGGTTATYATAAAGGAATACTATATTTGTATAAAAATTAAGAGTATTGGCAACAAGTAATAGCTTCAACCATACTGAATTTACATCACCGCAACAAATTTTAAGCTTAGCTGTCTCACGTTTAGGCAAGATGCCCCAAGAATTATATTCTCAATCTCTAATCCAAAAATGATATGGATTGATCAAATCTGCACTATGACTCTGAAATAGATGCACTGTAATTTTAAAATCTATGGGGAAATTTAAATCAGTCAGAATATATAGACATGTATTTTGCAATGTTATTAGTTTATAAATCAATAAAAATATTAATGGTTTGGCGTCATATTAAATAAAACTTTAATTTTAAATACATAAAAGTAATTACTAATTAGTATTCACTATACAAAAATTAATATTGCTCAAGGCAATGGTAAAAATGTTTGTATATTTTTAAGATTAGTGGTGTTAGTTATTATATATATATATATATATATATTTATATATAAATATGAGTTTGTGACCATTGCAATGGTTAAATGTAAAAACATAACTGTATACCTTAACATCTTTAACAGGAGATGTTTGAGTAACCGAGCTTGGGGGTATTTGAGTTTCAACATCTGGTTTGGGACATGTTGATTGCAATGGTACATCATGCGAGGGCATGAATTGTTGTTGAACTTGGTTTTTCATTTGACTAGTTGTTTTCTAAAAATAAAAGCAAATATAATTTTTATGTTAAGTACGATAAAGTAAATAATATTAATATATTATTATCACAAATATTTTTGTGGCAAGAAAACAAAAAGCTAATTATTGGGATTGGATACCGGTGTTAAAGTATAGAAATGTAGCAAAGAGTGAGACAACAGCGTGGGGCTTTGGATGGTCGGAGTTATTTTCCAAAAACAGCTTTGGAATTGTTTGTTTTACTAGTAATCGATCGAAGCATTTTTTCTTTTAATTATTAAAGAATTAAAATTAAAAACTCTTTTTTCGTTCTTTTAAATATTTATAATAGTTTTAGTACCAGAAAAAAAACCTTTGATCTATCACCTATAGAGAAATAGATTAAATAATATCTATTTTCAGCATCAAAATAAATATCAAATAAATAATGACGATAACAATGAAACTTATTTTAAAAGCTTACTGGTGTTATACAATTTTCCATATTAATAATTGTTGGCTGCTGCTGCTGTGGTTGTTGTTGTTGTTTGAAAGTTTCAACCTTTCTGATATTATACTGATTACCGTGGCTACCACCACCTAAAAAATAAAAGTAATAATATTAATCATTTATTAGGAAGCATTAAAATTAAATTAAGTGGCTTGGTGAAGCGTGGTCTTAYGCTCAATCTCAGGAAATGCACTGAGCGTACGTACCGGCTGCATTTGCAAGCTCTCGGATGGATGACCATCCTAGATTTTTAGTAACATATCCTTGTCACAAATACACAGACAATTCTATAAACTCAAAAATCTACAAAAATAACCCCCAAAGTACCATCTCATACCCTATATTTCTGGCGGGTTTCCTCTTAAAAAAAAAATAATTATATTAAATCACCATTATTAGGAATTTCTTGCATATTACAATAACTCTGTTTACAAATTTTTATACAAATTACAGAAAAATAATCTCAAAATAATAGTGTTTTGGTATCAACAAATTATATGGTACCTTTAAACTTATTTTACAAAGATCTAATCAAACAATGTCAAATGTATTTTACTTAATCATCACGATACATAACTCCACTATAGCAGTGGTCACCGCTAGTTTTGCACTAGCCACTCATCATTCTACCGAATAATTTTTAGATTCTTTAAGATAACAATTTTTAAACTAAATTTTAGGGAGTAAATAATCCTATCATAATCCTATTATTAATTTCAATGACTAAATTATTATTTATATACAATATTTATTAAATTAACAATTTACTTATGAGAATATATAGTATTTGATAATATTAGTTTCAGTATATTAAAATTCCTTTAAGGTGTTTTTCCGAACCTACATGATTAAATGACCTAAACTAATCATAGAAAAGGAAAATATGTTATATTCGCAAGTCAAAATTTTATTAATTACGTATTCATGTTAGTTACATAGGTTAGGTTAGGTTATGAATATTCAAGATTGAAAAAATAAATGAGAATAGTCACATAGTATATTATTTATAGTCATGACAATATTTTTAAAAGAATACCAAATATATATTATTTTAATGCAAAATGTAGTTAACTATTAATTTATTAAAACGACCAACTACCTATAGGTAAGATTGTAGTAAATACCAAAAATACAATAGGTACTTAGTATGTTTTAATTCAAAATATTTAAGCTGTCATTGATTGAAGCTTAACATATTATAATGTGCGCACAGTGGAGGCCTTTTTAATTGTATGAGAATTTGGTCACAAACAAGTCATTCATTCAAGCTTAAAAATATGTAAAAAATGATTTATAATTTAATGCAATTTTAAGTAGATACCTAAATAAAATATATTGAAATAAAGAAGTAGAAATTAAGAAATTATTACCTACCTACCATTTAAAAAAAAATGTTCCTATGGCAGGATGAAGAACCTACATAATATTTACTGCTCAACAATAAGGTAGGCACATGCTTATAAGAAATTATAGAATTTTAAAATTTAACTTTAAAAATGCATTTATTTATTCGATTCAGTCTGGGATAAGAAATATTAAATTAAGTTTATGAATTAAGAACATAAATTTGGATAAATTTAAGTTTATTTTTATATAATATTTAGGTACAAGTTATTATTACGTAGGAAATCAAAGGATTTTAGCACAGGAGGCGAGGTGCATACAATATATTCAACCATTATTAAGTGGACGAACAAATAGGCCATGGAAATATCACATATTTTGGTAATTTGTGGCTAGAAACAACAATAATGCAGACTAGTGTCTACAAGACGAAAAAAAATCAGTTAAGTTGTAGGTTAGATGAGACCACGACAATGGGGTTTCTACAAAAAGGGTGCGTGTCTGTCCCTAGAGTAGCACAAAAAAAAATAATAATAAATAACTAACAAAAATAGATTTTCCGTACTTGAACTTCTAGTGTTGTACATGGCTGATCTTTCCACAACGATATCACCTGTTAACGAAGGACTTACGAGTAAATTGTCGGAACAGGTCACTCGGCGAGACCTCAGACCGAAAAATACACACTCGCACAGTCGCACCAGGCAGGCGGTGAGCTATGTAATGATCGTAGGATGGTTTTATGCTAATCTGTGGACTGGAATATTGAACAAAAGTCGAATCAAATCAAAAACGGTTCTAAGACAGTCGGACGTGCCTTTGATTCCCGAATAACTAACTCCAAATAGTAATTTTGAGTAGTTTATTACTACTACAACACTACAACAGTATCAATTAGTGAAGGCGCTATAAAACAATAAACCATGGCCGTGGTGTAAACAAAAAAAATATTGTCAACTATGTTCCGCAAATTGAATGTAACCACTACTGGTATAACTACATAATCATTCTAGAATTTTCAACCTAAGGAATACCGAATAGATAATGTTATCACGTTTCTCCTCTGTGGCATGGTCATATGCAACGGTAACACAATAGCTTACCGTGTATCAACCGCTAGATTCTTCCAATGACAGCGTTGAATTTTTTCATCAAAGGCAGGTTTTCACTGTACGCGTGTGCTGTGTACACGAAAAATGTTCAGCTTGATATGTCCAACTGCMCCGGTAATATAGTTAACCGTGTGGTAACCTGACCCAACTAACCAAACACAACAAGAGATTGAAAGGAAGACGTATTTAGCAGAAACTGACTTTTACATAAACCAAATCGTTACGTTGTGATCATGACATATTATAATAGCATTATATTGTATGTTATAATTATAATTTTATTATATGTCTATGGTTGTGATAGTAACATTTTGATAGTCTTTCGGTAGGGTGTGACGACGACGTGTTGTGGCGGGAATCATTATTCAAAATCATTTTATTGATAGGTAATATTATCATGACTAAATAAATTTATTATTCATTTATTTTATATGAAATAAAAATAAAATAAAAATTATTAATTAACAAATAGTTAGTGCTTTCACTGGATGGCTTCTTCCATCACAATTTCATGTAAAAAATAAATAAATATTATATCACATATTCTTATTGTGCTCAAGGGCACAGATTGTATATTTCCTGTTAAAATTTTAAAAAAAATTATTCATTTATTTTTATCATATTATCATATAGTCGGTGTGTGACGTGAGTATGGATCTGAACCAAAACATGATTTTTAAGCTTATAAAATTATCGTAATACATTATTTTACATAATCATGATGTGGGTAACTGTTTTTGTTGTTATTGTACTACCACCACCAGCAACAACTTACTGCTAGTACGTTATCACGTCGTCA